CTAGAACGTTGTTTTACTAAGAAAATAATGAAATCCAAAATATTTTGCCAACATAAAGCAAAACTGCGGAAATAGAAATAAAGACGCATTTTTTTGACATACATATTTAGTTTTTTTAAGAAGAAATGTACAAAATTTGATAGATTTTGTAAAAATAAAGCTGAAGAGACGACCAGATTAAAATTTCTTATTTCGAAAGATTTTAGGAAATTTTTCACACAAAAACTTACTACAGGTAAAAAATTTGTCTTTTTATTTCGCGAATTGTTGATTTATTACTAAGTAAATTAATAAATAAACGCCCTGCAAACTGTGATAATTTGTTCACAAATATTTGCAGATGTTTAGGATGATTTTGCTTCTGATAATTTTGCAGAATTGTGAAAGTAACGCTGCGTGGGCTAGCCACGTAAAGTTAGAAAATACAGTTAGTGGTAAATAAAAACAAAATTTTAACTATTACGTAAGAAAAGTACTACATTTTGGACTAAATCCGTTAATTTATTTAAGTCTTAACGTGAAATACATTGAATAAAAGTCAAAAATAATCTTTCACTTTTACAAAATGTTAAGTTTTATATAGGCAACAATATTTCTCAGACGTATCATGGGTTGCCTACTTTGCACCAAAATTTTTTACAACATTAAATTTTTAATAATAAATTAAAGTGTTTGACAAGTTGCACTCATTAAAACAAACAATTGGTAATAAAATTTGTCATTGCAGTTACATGACCAAAAAATTCCATTAGCATATTTTAAAATTATTGTAATTTTAACGAAAAAATTTATTGGTATATTTAATTCTTTTTTTTTATTAAATACATGATGCGTTTCTTGCGTTTTATTTAATTTCCTAAAAAGTAGTACACTTAAATAGATTATAATCATCATAAACCTTCTGGAATATTTTATCAAAGTTAAAACACAACGTCATTACACACAGCATCACTGCTGTCTATAAAAAACCGCTACGATGATTTTCAGTCAGTTTCAGTGAAGAAATTTAGAAAAACATCAAGTATGAGCGCTACTGAAGACCTAATTGCTGCAGGTATGTCCCCAAAATCAAATATACACTATTTCTTATTAAAATAATTGTGGTAGAAGCTGGAAAAATGTCTCTCGATGAGAWGAAATTAAGCATTTCTAGTTCCTCCTCCTCTGGGACTTCGCACTGTCCTTGCTCTCACATGAAACCCCAAATGTTCGGTTGTTACCCCCCACCGCCGTTCATGTTCCCTCAATGGGGCGCATTTTACTGCCCTCCACCCCCTTGTTACTTCAACATGCCCCCAAAATGTTGCCAGCATCTTCCCTGTTGTGCTAAGAGCAAAAAAGCTGAAGAATCCAAAGAATGCGAGTGTTGCAAGGAAGGAAAGTGCGAATGTTGCAAAAGCGGCAAAGAATGTGGGGCGAAGGATCGGAAGGAGAGCACCAAGAGTGACAAAAGCGAAAAAGAGGATGAAGAAGGCGACGAAGAAGAAGAAGGAGGAGAAGAAGAAGAGGAAGATGAGTAGTTTTGAATGTCATTTGTAGTTGCATATTGTTCAAATAAATAAAAGTCAGTTTGTAAAAAACATATATTCAGATCAATGACTAACAAATTTCCAACGTTATGACGATAAAACTATTAGGTACGAAATATTTGGTATTAAATTAATTAGTGATTAAAGGGCTAAACTAAGGTATCTAACAATTCTTTGGTATGCGAGTAATAGGGACTACAACTGTCTTGGTTGTGCCTCTGCCTCCTGGTGCTGAACATCAGCGCTTGCAACATCTCGTGCTCCTGCTCTTCATTAGCTAAATCTCTGTGGAGATTCTCCAAATAATGCCTCCTATTGAGCAACATCTCCGTCGTTTCCTCCAAAACCACCTCATTATGTTGCATTTCGCAAGCACTTTTCGTCATTTCCGTCCTCAAATTAGTGAGAGCTTTCGTCAAGTCTTCCGTGCTGGTTTTGTGCTTGTCATACTTCCTTAGATTCGCATCTAGTCTCACTAAACACTCTTCTTCCTTGAGAAGACGTTTGTTTAATTTCGCTATTGACTCGAAAAGTTCAACTTGTTCCCTAATTGTCGCTTCGCTGACTGTTGAACTCGTCTCGTCGTCTTTGATGTCTTTGCTGAAGTCTTCCGATGAGGGGGAAAAACGCTCGAGCTRAAAGAACTTAATGTTAGGAGAGAGAAAAAGTGGAATGAGGGAATAACTCACTTCCGGAGGTCGTGTCTTGGTGTTGGACTGCTCACTGTCGCCTTCAGTCATGACCCCACTGTCGCTGTTCTTGTCAGTGCATAAATTGGGCTCATTTTCRGGGTCTACAGCCTCGGATAAGCCCTTTAGGTACGTTTCAAGGAGGTAGTTGCTGCCGTGTTTGCGCACTCGGGCTTTGTGCGTYTTGTCTTCTAAATAGCCGATTTGGTGTTCACTGTGTCTGCAACAACTCGTTAGACTCATCATAATTATACAGGATGTCTATTGTGACAATTATTTTTTGACATTTAACATTTTCAACTGACTTCTTGTGGGACTTGCTACAAAAAAATTATTACCAACAGGGCAAAAATTTCGTTAAAATATGTCTATTTAATGATACTGATAATTTTATTTATGTTTTTTTTACAATTATTTAGTAAAGATACAAAAATTTTGTCAATAAAAGCCACAAAAAACATTAAACAAAATTACAATTTAGGAGACAGCTTTCTTGTTTCCTTTTCTATTAGCCTGTACCAAAAAAACTAGGAAAGTTATTTTTCCAACAGAAATAAATAGAGCTAAAGTGCAAAATTTAATTTATAGATAAAAAAAAATAACATTTTGTTTTCATGTTCCTTGTATTTTTATCTGGGGCGCGAGGTCTAGCGCACCCTGTATCTCATACAGGCTGTCCCAGTGAGTTGAAAAAGTCCATTAGTCACCATTAAATGGTACAATATAAAAAAATTTACATAGGACATTGATAGATACGAGTACTAATCTAGTCTATCGCCTAAAGTTATTTTCAACTATACAGCGTGTCTCAAAAATAAATTACAATACAAACTTGTGTTTTTTTAAATGAAACACCATATGTTTCTTAGCGTTTTTGGATGTAGATTTTTATGACAATGTTTTTAACATTTTCGATTTTGCTTAGTTTTAAAAATAAGACGGATATTTTGACAAAAACATGCACTTTTTAAAAAAAATTTACACAAAAACTAAGACATCTACCGCGAAGAAGAAGGTACAAGTTATAAGGTTGTAACATTTTTTTAGTGTGTTTGCAAAAATAAAAAAATTAAGGCATTTCTTAAAAGTTTAATAACTNGTTTGCAAAAATAAAAAATGAAGGCGTTTCTTAAAAGTTTAATAACTTAAAAAATTTAAATAGAACACCATATTTATTGTTTTTGCCTTTAAAAGATTATTATTTTAGGTGTTTATAATCAATAACTAAAAAGATATTTAACGTTAAACATTAAAAAAAATAATTATCGTACTATTGTTTCAGTAGCCAAAAAGTGCACAATTGCACAAAATATGGAAGAAATATCACTTAATAATCACATTTGTGTTAAACTGGATATATTATTCTTTATTTTTACAATAAAATAATTCGAATTTCAGTGTTTATAACGACTTTTACAATCTCTGAATAAATCAACGGATAAGTGATCCGAGGTGGAATTATTATGTTTGTCATAGAATCAACAATGCTCAGACTCAGATATTGATAGGCCTTGTTGCTACAATTAATATTTAATGTTAAATATCTTTTCATTTATCAATTCTAGACATCAAAGTATTTTTTTTAGATAGACAATTTATCAATTTATTAGATACAAAAATAAAAAATTGGGTGTTCCATTAATTTTTTTAAGTTATTTAATTTTTAACAAACTTCTTAATTTATTATCTTTACAAATGCAAAACACTAAARAAATTGCCACAGCTTTAAATTTTGTACTTTCTTTTTGGCAAAAGTAAGAAAAAATTTGTTCTAGCTTCTTAGTTTTTGTGTAATAAATTTTTAAAAAGTGTAWGTTGTTGTCAAAAAAACGTCTTATTTCTAAAACTAAGCGAAATCGACTAATAAAAGTTTAGCGTAAAAACATTGTTTTAAAAGACTACATCCAAAAATTCCAAGAAACATAATAATAAAATAAAAATAAATAATTTTTTGGTGATGCACTAGATTAGTATCTATCAAAGTCCTATACATTTTTTTTTAAATTTTACCACCTAAAGGCCACTAATGGACTTTTTTCATACGCTGGGACACCCTGTATAACATTAAAAAAATATCAATAATTATCGATAGGTGATTATTTATCTCATATAACATTAAAATAATATCGATAATTATCGATAATTAATTATTTACTTCCTTAAAATAGTAATTACGTCAAGAGAAATAAATGACACTGAAGTCCCATAATAATATATCCTGGAATTGCAACACGAGTAAAAAATTAAATACTTTCTTTTTTTTTTATTTCTCGGAAATTTATCAATGACATCTGTCCATGGGAAAATTTTGTTCATGTTATCATCTGTTTTTGAACTACTTATAGAACTTGAAGTAAAAATTAATTTTCTCAAAAAAATTTTTGTGCAAGATTTCACTTTTTTTGTAATAATTATTATGTATTGAATATAGAGAATTGAAAATAAAAAAAAGACAAAAACACGTGTTTTCATATAACTTTTTAAATATTTAACGGTATTAACCATTTATTACTATTATTATTATTAATTATTATTTATTGTTATTATTATTTTTATTAAAACTTCATTATTCTGATCCAGTGAAAAGAAAAGTTAATTTTTTTTTTGATTTTGGACAAAATACCGCCAATGTGATGGAATTTAAAAAGCAGAGTCCAAATCAAGAAAAAAAAGTACTTTTCTTGCTCGTTTTATGTGAAGCAAAAAATGTTTTTCCTTTACAAAATCAAAGATAAAATTTTTTTTTCCTCTTTTAAACTCAATCCGGGGACATACTATATATCGATGTTTATCGATAATTTTATTGATTATGAAATTCTCACCTCAACTTCTTTAATTGTCGTCTGATGACTTCTCCTTGAGCTAGAACTAGTTTGAGTAATTCCTCCGTGCTTGATGGTTGTTTTTCGTTCTGTAAAGCGTGTAGCCTCTTCGGATGTATAGTTTTCCAGGCGCTGCGATCCGACCACGTGCTTGAGTCCGACCGACAGCGGGTTCTCCGACTTGGGGGCCTGTCGTGTTTGATTCTTCTCAGTGAGATTTTCACTTCGGGCTGTGCTGTCCCCCACGCATTCCAAATGTCTAAAATGACAGACTGGCGCTCTAGAGGTTGCTCCACACCTCTCCACCGTTCTGTTATGTGGTACTGTTCGGGGAGTCCCATGTGGCGGCCCTGAAAMTGCRTTTTAGGAAACGTTGGTACTAAATTGGGAYCCTACTCTGCATTCCTCGTCCTGGAGCAGGACCTGGATGACCTCCTGGCACGTGGTCTCGCCGGTGATCCCGGAGACCCAGCGCTGCTCCCCGCGCACCCATATGGGCACCTCCTCGCCGCTGCTCACACTGTCGTCGTCCGAATCGCCCAAAACGTGTCTTTTACCGTCATCCAACCACATCATGGTATCTGAAATAAAGTCATTGCTTAAAATGGGCTAATGAAGCGTGGAGGAATTTTTTTTCTATTAAACGGTGGGAACTTGAGCTGACTACTGAGCACGTAACGTCTCGCCGGAAACACGTATTTAGACACACTTGCTGGTAAAGCACCGTCTTTAAATTTCAGACACGGAGTGGAAAAAATTCCAACATTTTTCACTTATTTCGACAATTACAGTGGGCGGGTTTGAGAGGCTGGGACGGCTTTTTAGCGATTTCAACGCTCGATCGGGAAATTGGAAACAATTTTGGCGAGTAAGGCGTGACAGGGCCGAAATCAACTAATTGGGCCCCTCCTTGAGAAACTACAGTGCGATCAAAAAGTCTTTCTATCAAGTAGGCGTACTAGTTGAGGACGTATGTCGCTTGGAAGTTTGTACAGTGAGATCAAAAAGTCTGTCTATCAAGCAAGCGTAGAAATTTAAAACGTGTCTGTGGAAGATAAAATGTCACAATGACAAACGAGAAATGTCAAAATAATTTTTATGTAAATTATGACAGGAAACCGTGGTGAACGATTTTTATGAATAAACACCAACAAAATCTTATTTTAGTTTGTTTTGAGACGTTTCCTAGAATAATTCAATTTAATTAGCTCAATGTTTTAATTTTTATAAAATAATTTTTTGACATCTAGATAACATACAAATTGCCATGCAACATACGTCCTCAACTAGGACGCCTACTTGATGGAAAGACTTTTTGATCGCACTGTATGTCAGCTAGATATCAAAAAATTATTTTATAAAAATTAAAATATTATTGATCTAAACAAATTGAATTACTGTATGAAACGTCTTAAAACACCCTAAAATGAGATGTATTTGGAGTTTATTCATAAAAATCGTTCATCACGATTTGTTGTTACAGTTTACAAAAAAAATATTTTGACATTTCTTATTTACCATTGTAACATTTTATCTTCCGCAGACACACGTTTTAAATTTCTAGGCTTGCTTGATAGATAAACTTTTTGATCGCACTGTATAAATCACTCTTTGAATCTTAGTTCAATTAGAACAACTGTTTATTAAGAAAATGTAATTGAAATCATGGGCGCCCACAGGGGGTGAGGCAGTGGGAGCCGTTGCCCCACCTGGGACAATGGTGGTTGCTATTTTATATAAAAAAAGATTTTTTTGATTTTTCACAAACTCGTTCTAATTTAATTTTTTTTCTGCGGGCGCCCATGATTGAAATAATTCAATAGTTCATCAATAATTTTTTTGAAATACCTAATAATTTTAAGATCAATATTCTGATTTCATTTTTTAAAAAAGTAGTCATATCAAAGTGTAGAAATTTTAATTAGACAAACAAGTTACCTTGCGTTAAAAGAACTGTTTCCTTTTATGGATTCTAAAAAACATTCAAAAATCCTAATATACTCTGGAAAACGCAAAAACAAACTCTTTATAATTTTTTAAATTATGTTTAAAAAGTTTACAATGTTTTATTAATAAGTAGATATATTCAGGTGTTAATTGTAACATTGGGTTGTCAAATCATTTTTTAAACTATAATACAGAAAAACAGTCAAATTTAAAATTTACGAAAAATCCGACAAAAATTGTATTAAATCTTAAAACTGCAAAAAGCATGCAAAAATCCCCCTTTATACAAGTTCATAAATCGTCGTTTTTGGCAAAATTAATTAATTTCACAAATTTTCAACCAATTTGTCTTGGTTTTAAGACAGAAATCTTTATAAATCGACGTAATTTAACGAAAAAAAGTGCTGAAATCGTCGTTTTTGGTGAAAATAAAGCGATTTGAGCTATCTCCAAACTCCTTATTCGAGGAGGTTCACAACCCGAGGAAATTATAATTTTAAATAAAACTCGGGGAGATCCTAAAAATGTTATTAAAATATCTAGTATATTTAAAGCGCTTTGAATTAATTTAGAACAATGTGGCTGAGTTTTAACCCAGAAATTGTTGTAAATCAAAGTATTGCAACGAAAACAGTTTTTGGCAAATTTAAGGCAATTTGGGCAATTTTCAAACAATTTGTTTTGGTTTTAAGACAGAAATCCTTGTAAATAAACGTATTTCAACAAAAAAAGTGCTCAAATCAATATTTTTGGCGAAAATGGAGCGATTTGGGCTATTTCTAAACTTCTCATACGAGGAGGCTCAAAATCCAAAAAAATAAAAAAAAACTTAAATAAAAATCGAAAAGAAATCCTAAAAATTTTATAAAAATATCTACAAAATCCTAGACCCTAAAAGACGCTGATTTTTGCGAATTTCTTTTGAAAGTCAATTTCAAACTATACTCTTTTTCATATTAATATGTATCAAGTGGGTTGTAGAAGTCTAAATTTAAAGTCTGATTCACACATAGTCTCACTAATGTCATTCAGAACAAATTTAATTACATCAATAATAACAAAATCTTTATGCTTGTTACCCTGTGTTAATTACCTTGTTAATTTTAATTATCTTTTGCTACCTGGGGTACACATTTATTAAAAAAATATATTTTTAGGGAAGGTTGAGGTTAGGATTGTTTGAATTTTTGCATGGTTGCAACCTTAAAATGATCCCTTTCAACGACTACTTCGATGCACATTAATATGAAAACGAGTATAGTAAACAAAATATTCTGAGATCTATTCCGGCGATTTTGATWAAATTTTCACCACATATTATTTATAATATTGTCTTGAAAGTAACATAAGATTTTAGCAATTAAAAAAAAATACTACCAGTAGAAAAAAAGAAAAGAAAGAAGAAACATGAAAATAGAGAAAAGAAAGAAACTCGATGCGAGTCATCCAATTAGAATAAGCGCAAAAATCATTTATGAGACTTCCTTATTTAATAGATGGAGGCTGAGAACTTGTTAAACATCAGCTTATAGATACTGCCAATTGCAGAAATTTTTTGTTGCCCAGTATAGGTGTACTAGTCTCGAATCTGCCCACTGTTGTCAAGCCCCGTTTCATTTTATAATTTACATCTCGTCCGTAATAATAAAAAAGCAAAAGAAACGAAATGATAGTTAACAGACATTTGTCGGTTTTAGTAGCAAGTTGACAGGCTTTCGTTGCACTATAGGAAGTGAGATAAGTTCGATAATGTTGTTTATTATGCGCGACGAACTATGAAATGCTTTTACAACAGTCYGTTGACATTTTTCACGAACATTGAAAGGCTTTAACCGCGATTTTTCCATTAGTTTCCCGGTGATTGAGGAAATAATTGCGACGACTCCGATACAAGATATTATACAGGCGGCCTTTTTAAAATGCACATTATAAATCAAGAAGAGCACGAAATTAAAAAGAGGCATAGAAGCACGTCCGATATTACTGTAAAAGCTACTTCACATGTAGCAGCTAATAATATTAAATTAAAATCGCATTTACACAGTCTACGCCCATCGGGATTACCAAAAAAATCAAAGCGAATTTACGCACTAACCTAATAATCATCTTCGAGTCAGTGTTCCCAAAGTGGAGATCCAAGCTTAGCTTCTAAATTACTGGTTTCGCTTTATTTGTTTTGATTTTTTTCAAGTGATTACAGACCACTACCGTTCAACTACTTTATTCTTCTTGAAACGTCTAGGGACCACCTGRGCTCGTTTAAACGCCTCGAAATAGGAGAAATTCACGCAATCGGCCGTTCACGTTTCACGTCAAAACGATTAATTATTTATAGCAGAAAAGACGCTCCAGACTAGACACTAATTAAGAGCAATTTAACAAACCGAAGAGTTCCATTTTGCACGATTGCCACTCATTGTGCAAGCAGTGACCCCGATACATTATTCTCTTTCGACACGTAAAACTAATCGCTAAATACTAGAATATTTATGTTTTTCCGTGTTAATTATTACTAATCTGTCCATTTTAATTATAACGGAATGTGTCATTTTACTATAAATTAATTTATCAAGGTATGTCACTGCTAATTAAACTTAGATTGTCTGAAATTGAAGTGAAAAATTGAAAATTATGACAATTACTTGAATTTACATTGGTATTTTGCATGTTTGTTTAATTTAATTTATTAATGGGCGATGGCGCAATTGTTTGATTAATTACTTAATCCGCTAAGCAAGGAAAACCTCCTCGACGTTAGCATAAATCCCACGAGTGTGTTGACAGGTCTTGAGACAAAAATTACCGCTAGTTAATATTTCGGGCTGATGCGGAAGAACCTAGTCACTGATATTAACAATCACCGACGCCGTGACTTGCAAAGTATCTTTATTGTAGTAAAAGTGGCAGGCCATAGTAAGTTTTTGTCGATGAAAGAAAGTATATTAATATAATGGCCAGATTGAGTGATACGGCTCGTTTGACATAACTGTCTTACACTCATTATTTAATAAAAAACTTGTCGTTTGTTTGCACTGACTAATTAATTTTGTAATTAATATGGAACAATGTCCAATTAACAATTTTCGCGATTACGGCTCTGGAAAACAAAGGCGCCAAGCTACGGATTATCATTGCAGACATGTCCCGAGTCCCGGTCTCTACCTGAAATGGAATATTTTATGTTTTTGAATTGGAAATTGAGGAACTCTTGACGCAATTCAGGAATTGACAATGCTTAAAAAAGATTCTGCGACTCAATTTCTAAATTGAATGTGTAAACAAATATACAAATTATATACAGGCTGTTCCGGTTAAATCCCACATTAAAAGTATTGGGAGTTTTAACAGTACGTAATATTTATCTAAAATTTTTATTACAGCCATAATTGTTTAAATTCTACTTAATGAAAATATGTTCAAGATGGCAGCACTTTCAGTTACACCGGAAATGAGTAGCAACTTCGTTATTTTAAATAGAAAGTTATGTTTTTTTATTTTGTACTCAATGTTAAAGAGTGCTTTTATTAACTAATTTCAGTAGATAAAATAGTCTTTTATCGTCTAGTGAAATAAACTAATTTTTATCTACTGTTTATATTCAAGAAATTCTGGTAGGTGAGTACAAAATAAAACG